CGAGAGAGAGGAGAGAGAGATGAGAGAGAGAGAGCGATCGAGACAGAGTAGAGGAGAGTAGAGAGGAGAGAGAGAGAGAGAGAGAGAGGAGAGGAGAGAGATGAGAGGAGAGAGAGAAGAGAGAGAGAGAGAGAGGAGAGAGAGAGAGAGAGAGGGAGGAGAGAGAGAGAGGTGAGAGAGAGAGAGAGAGAGACTGCTCGCGCTGTGCTCCGCAGCAAAACAGCTGTGGGGCGAGTTTGAAAGTACGTTATGCTGGCCGCGGTGTCTAAATAATGCTTCCGGGCCAGCGGGCCATTTATAATGTCGAGCCCTGAGAGTCCACAGATTCTATTGGTATACGTTTCATCCCTGTGCGATCAAAACTCACTGTTCAATAAAAGAACATTTTACCTTGAAAATCAATGCATTCTAATAGCGGGTCAATTTGACCCAGGTGGCGGTTCTAGTGTTAAGCTGCTTTTCCTCTGACATGAAGGAGTAAACAGGAAGTGACGTACCGCCTGCGCCTCCTGCTCGTCTCTCTTGGAGTAATATTCCTTCAGATTCGCTCCTCGCTCCCATTCTCCTCCTCCACCTCCTCCTCTTCCTCCATCTCCTCCTCCCCACCCGGAGTTTCCTCCTCCGGAGTACCCGAGTCCCGTGACACCCGGCACCGGCCCGCTCTGCTCTAGCAACGACAACACAAAATGATGTTTTATACTTCCTCCCGGGTCCAACGGGACTTAAAAACAAGGTGTCAGTTTTATCACTGAAGCATCAAATAAATACCTTTCAGTTCAGCTTTCACCACGAGGTGAGGAGGCAGCGGCCCGCTGGAGGGGAGGTTCCCAAAGCCTCCTCCTTCTCCTGCTCCTGCTCCTTCTCCTGCTCCTCCATCAGGCTGATCTCCAGCTGCAGCGCTCATCTGGAGAAACGACACCTCCTTCAAATAATGCTTCAACCACTTGTCGTGTCAAATGATCATATAATCATTTAAAACATATCGTCTTGTCCTCTGATTGCCTTTTACTCCGTTATAGTGTATTTTCACTCCTGTATGTGTTTAACAGAGACATTAAAGGACACCTATCATGCTATATTTGAACAATATATTGTAGGGCCATACCTATATAAAGTATATAAATATAGGGTTGTTTTCAAAATACCAAACAGATCATGCATTTTAGCCATGCCTCATTTCGCTCTATGTGCTGTTTGCTGTCTACGGGTCTGATTCTGCTGACCACGCCCCCCTGCAGGAGAGGGGAGACGTGCTCTGATCAGCTGCTGGGCTGTCAGAAGAGGGGGAGAAAAAGAGATCTCCGTCCTCCGTGTTTTATTATATAGAGTCGTTATTCATTTGTTTTAAAGCTCAATAAATAACAAAGAAGACCTTTGACCGGCACTTTTCTCATTTTGTCCGGAAGATTTAAACTTTAACGGACATCTTGACCGGCGAAAGAAACTGAAACTGAAACTCTGCCGCACGGTCCCCTCGTTCCTTGGAAGAGGCGGAGAGGTGGGTGTTTGTCATCTGCTGGTGGACTAACCGGAGAGAATTACAGTGCTTGCCTCGACGGGGAGGGATTGCATTGAATTAAAGCAGCGGGAGCAAAGGCTTGCCTCGGGGAGGGAGAAAGAAAGCCACAGCGGAGAATAAACAGAAGGGTAACCATGGTAACTACTGGCGGGAAGTCTTCTTCGCTGCTTTTGTGGCAGACTACAGCGCCACTTACAGGCCTGGCATATGTACTACAGCGTCTCCAGCGCTTTCGAGCGGCAATGGCCGGCCGTGGCCCAACCCCACATTCCCCTGATAGGTGGAGAGTTGGCCCAATAGCCGTAGCGCCACCGTCCTGACGTCAGGACAGTGTTCAAATCTGGATCAGTTTGTATCAGATCCGTTGCAGCCCCTTTTTTAGAGATTTGGGTATGGAGGAAAATAGAGAGGGTTGTGTTTTCTGACACTTGGTGAGTTCCCTGGAACACCGGGGACACATATTCATGTAGAAAAGACGTACACAAGTGCATTTTGCATGATAGGTCCCCTTTAACCTGTAGATATGTTTATTTTGTTATGTATGGAATAATTTCTTAAAATGCAAATAGCAAAAAAAGGAAGTAAAGGTCTGAAGGTTCTGAATAAGAAGAAACTCCCTCTGGAATAACACATTTTATGCTTTGCAGACCATTTACATCCACTAACACCTAGAGAACCCACTACAGTCTGGCACTAATGCACATTCTCAAGATATTCAAGTGACTGTTATTTTGTATTGATTGATTGTTGTGCTTTTGTCTTAATGTGTGCACATGTATAAATGTGTCTTTGATTGTGTATATATAAATATATATATTTATATATATATATATTTATATACATTTGTGTTTATTGGGATTGTGGGAAACGGTATTTGGATCTCTCTGTCCACACAAACTGAAAGATTGGCAGTAAAGTTGACTGAGTTCAGAGAGAGGGAAAGGGCCCCTTTAAAGACAGTTTAACGCGAGTACTTCCAGACCCTCGTGATTGTTGCACTGACCCCTGGCGCCGGGACCTCGGCGGCGCTCATCTCTCCGCTGCGGACCAGGAAGTTGACGAAGTCTCGGGCGGCGTTGGTCTGAGCGTCCTTCTTGTTGCTGGAGTTTCCCATCCCGATGTAGCTGAAGCTATCCACTCGGACCTGAGGGCAGGAAGCAAGACATCAGGAAACTCTGAGATATCTATGAAATCGGACGCCTCGTGAGAGGGCTGTTTGTTTCTCCCACGTCTGGCAGGAAATGTGATTGTTGTACATTTGTTTCTCAATTTTGAAGGAGCTGAAGTTTGAACACAGAGTAATATCCATGTAGGAAGAGGGTTAGGACCACATGTGACCAAAAGTAACAAATAAATATTGAGTTCAACAAAAAATAAAAAATTGATTTCTGAGAGTAAAGTCAGATTTTGGAGAAAGAATAAAAAAATAATTCAGATAAATAATTTAAGAAAAATCTGAATTCTGAGAAATAACTCGTATTAAAAAAGATTATTAGAAACATTTTTAAAGAGTCAAATCCCAAAGGTCCCATGTCATGGCCATTTCTACTGATCATAGTTCCATTGTTGAGGTCTACTAGAATAGATTGACATTGTTCAATGTTCCAAACTCTCATTGGTTTCTCATACAGCATCTCTGTATAGTCTGTGTATTCACTCTCTGTCCTACACGGCTTGTTGGAGCTCCTGCCCCCCCCCCCCCCTCCCTGTGAGCCCAGTGGCCGTCTGCGAGACACAGCAAAACCCAGCCCGAACACACACACACACCCGCAGCCTGGCTGGGAGTTTGTGCGTGTGCCCAGGCTGAGCTCTGCGGTGTCTCGCCGACCCCACACCAGTGAGCCGGCTCACAGTGTCCCACTCCTCCCAGCAGCGAGCCTCGCAACGCCCCGTTGAGTGTGAGGAAGTCCGCGGATTGGTCCAAACGTAACGGCACCGCGGACGTTACGTTACGTCACGTCACTATACCCAAGAAGTAAACAATGGAAAAAGAGAAATGTCCAACGAGGCGTTCTGGGGCAGCATAGACAGGTCTTCTCTGTGTTAGAGCTTTACTCTCTACAGGGTGCACTTTGAGAGTTTGTGACTCTGCAGACCGTTTACATGCAGAAGCTTCAGAACACAAGGGGACGGGTAAGAACCAGAAAAGCATGACATGGGACCTTTAAATAATCTCTACATCTAAATGAGTTAAAAATATCTGAATTGAAAAGTGGATGAGCTGTGCAGAAATGTATCAAATATACAGAGGAATGTTTGAGGGTTGCCGTTTATTCTGGATTGTGGGAAACAGTATTTGGATCTCTCTGTGCACACAAACTGAAAGGTGGACAATAAAGTTGACGTCTTTGACTTTGTGTTGATACTGTAGAATGACGTACTGCTTGTGTATATGAATATATAAACTCAGGGTGTTAGAAAGGAAGCCTCACCTCACACAGGAACTTCTGGCGGTTTTTGTTCCCTGCAGCTCGGATGTCGTAGCTGGGCGTCAGCTTCTTCTTCCCGCACCAGGCGTACAGCACGTTCTTGATGTCCGCCATGGTGGTCCGACAGGCCCTGAGCGGAGGAAATTAAAATAACTCCAGTCAGGTAACAAGCAAACTTATTCAGAGTCTATGCCACACCTGAGCTTTGGGATGTAAATCAAGAGAAGCTCTGGGCAGACACAGAGGAGCATTATTAAATAAATAAAGGTAGTTAATGACATCTGTCCGTGTAAGAGAAGACTGATTGGTCATTTGAAACGACTAAATACTTGACCTTCAGATACAGGTTTAATGACAACTATAGAATTCTGACTTTGTATCTGGAAATGTTTTTTATTTGATCTGAGAATTGTATTATTCTTCAATTTTTTCGAGAAAAAAAAATAATCTGACTTTATTCCGAATTCCGTTTTTTTACTGTAACAATATTTCGTTTTTTATTTAAAGAAAACTATTTTTCTCTATTATTATTTTTATTCGCACTTTAATCTCAGAAATCTGATTTTGTGTTTTATATTTTTCTGATAATTTCTATTAAAGGCTATTTTAAGGCAATAGCATAGGTCTCAGATATACAAATATATAAAAAACATGTCTATGAAGTGTTTTGCTCAAAATACCAAACAGATCACCCATTCTAGCCATGCCTCATATCCCTCTGTTTCACTTCCTCTTTCAAAAGGGCTGAAAATAAAATGATAAAAAATAAAAAGCAGGGGTCTGAGCTCATGCGGGACCCGGCAGCTACTGTCTAAACTAAATGCTGCCGTGATGAAACGCCATATCATGGATTATCAAGGATTCTCTCTGAAACAGTATGGAGCTCAAAGGCTTTCTCTCTTGCCGGTTATACCACAAGGTGAGTTCCTTTGTATTTCCTGCTTCTTCACACACATGCTCTCCAGTACAGGTTAGCTCTGAGTGTTAGCGATGCTAATGGAAACACCGACCATATTACGTCCAAAACAGTCGGGCATTGTTTCTGATAGCAACTTTCTGATCGCCATGGGCATACTTGCCAACCTTGAGACCTCAGAAATCGGGAGCATTTGCTAGTGGATCGCCGGAGCTGTTAGAACTGTTAGCGCTGGAGCCTCGCAGCGGCTTTTAAAGATGAAAAGAACATCTACACATGCTTATTGTAGTTGTAAGTGCAATGCCTTGCTGCCTGTAGCACCATCCTTGATGGAGCATATGTGTGATCTGGACCTGTATTTTACAGGAAAGGAGTGAGCAGAGGGTCGAGTTGTCCATTATTGTTCTGTTTGCTGTGACTATCTTCCTCACCATGCTGAACATCCTCTCAAACTTTCAGTTGCGCGCATAAAAATAAATTCGAAAAAAAAAAAGATTCCCAGTTTTTATAAAAAGTAGGATTTAAAAAAAAAAGGGACATTTGAAAAAAATGTGATTCTGATAGAAAACATCTTGATTAGATAATTAGGGTCATGATTAAAATGGAGGTCTCAAAAAGCATGTTCTATAGAAGCTAACTGTAATCCTGACGGTAACACGGAACATTTAGAAAGTAACACTCATCTGATTTGTTTATAACTGTGAGGGAGCACAGTTACTTCTTAACCCGTTACATGTCATCCGTTACTGATAATAAATAAAGGGTTATAATAATAAATACAATATGAATCAGGTTTGCTATTGTTTGTTGTTTAGCTCGATGCTAAAGCTAGCGTTAGCTCATTATTATTATCACCGGCTCTAGAGCTTGCTCTCTAGCTGCCGTTGAAGTGTTTGCTTCCGGTTTCTGTGGGGCTGAGTGTAAAAGCCCAAACCAAGTATACAACTAGGAGATCTGAATAATATACAAACAGAACATGTATTATTCTTTACTCACGATGAGAGGCTTCTGCAGACACCGGAAGTGGCTAGTGAGTGTGATGCCCGTTCTTATAGAGTGGCGAAGTCACGCCCATCTACTTCCGGTCCATGGGACCTTATTCCGGAAAAATAATGTATTGAAGTCAATGGAGAGAGAAAACTTATCTTTCGATCCCGTTTGAATTGTGCCATGAATTACACATATGATGTTTTTCAATATTAAAAAATAATTTCCATGTCAAAAAAGTCACAGTTTGTCGTAAAACTGTTGAAATATAAGACTATGAAAAATACGTAACTAGAAAGACTACAAATCCCAGAGTCGCGTAAGTGATGTCACAATTGTTTTCCTCCAATCCCAAACCGCCCCCTACACCCTACCCCTACACACTACCCCTCCGTTTGCGCGTTCGCGCGGAGGGTCCGCCACGTGCTGTTCCAAACCAACGAGTGTGGAGAGGTGTGGAGGGGGAGTGGGCTATCAAGCCCTCAAAACAGCGAGTCTGCAGCGGGACCATATAGAGTGGCGAAGTCCCTCCCACTTACTTCCGGGGTATGGGACCTTATTTCGGAAAAATTATGCATTGAAGTCAATGGGGAGAGAAAACTTATCTTTCGATCCCGTTTGAATTGTGCCATGAATTACACATATGATGTTTGTCAATCTTAAAAAATCATTTCCATGTCAAAAAAGTCACAGTTTGTCTTAAAACTGTTGAAATATAAGACTTTGAAAAATACGAAACTAGAAAGACTACAAATCCCAGAGTCGCGTAAGTGATGTCACAATTGAGACACTACGATACACGTATAATACCGTATATATACGATCAGCGCCATATAGATATAATCTATCTATATGGCGCTGGCTAAGATAAGATAACTTTGTGCCTGTGTGCTTAGTACCAGGTTGTTATTATACCAGCAATGGGTCTTGCTCGTTCTTTCGCTTCCCGTCTGATGAAAGAGGAGTGTGTGGATCAAGTTAGCTACCTAGCTAGTAGCTAGCACGTTAGTTAGCATTACAGCCTTGTCATTTTTATTAGCCTTAACATGAAGTAACATTAAGTAACCCAAAATGTTAAACAGTAAGAGTAGTAGTCATATTTCGTGAACCCTTTGAAGAGTACTGTCACCGGTGTGATCATTCTATAATACACCATTTAAGACCGGGGGAGAAATGCTAACGCTAACGCTAGCGATCTTCTCTACTTCATGCTATCTGCACAAATGGTTGACATTAAACATTAAAACGACCAGGCAGTTCAGAGAGAATCAAAGGAAGGCAGGCAGGCAGCTTTGCATGACATTCTTCAGGACGTGTTTCATTGTGGTGATAGTGAGGGTAGTCAATCGTTTTGTTGACAAGACAGTAGTGACGGCCATCTTGGTGACGTGTGTTGTTGGCCAGAGATGTAGTTCTTTGAGCGTTTCACACAAACAAATGTGTTACTTCACAGTTTTACGACACATTTTTTTTTTTTTGACTTGCAAAATTATCTTTTAAATTGACAAACATCATATGTGTAATTCGTGGCACAATTCAAACGGGATCGAAAGATAATCTTTCTCTCTCCATTGACTTCAATGCATAACTTTTCCGAAATAAGGTCCCATGGGGCCAAAAATGTGGCTTTAAAAAAGAATTCATTGCGTGGATTAGACTTCTCTACTCCTCTCCCCTGGCTGCTATAATCTCTAATAACACTCGGTCTAATTACTTCCCCCTTGGAAGAGGTACAAGACAGGGATGCCCGCTTTCCCCACTTCTTTTTGCGCTAGCAATTGAGCCTTTGGCAACAAAACTCCGTTTATGTAAGGATTTCAAAGGCATTGATCGGGCAGGACAAAAGTTGAAGGTGTCCCTTTACGCGGATGACCTGCTTTTATATGTATCCGAGCCTGCCTCATCGCTTCCCTATATCCTGGATATCCTCGATCAATTTGGGAAAGTCTCAGGTTATAAATTAAATTTACAAAAGAGCGAACTTTTCCCTTTAAACTCTGCAGCCGATGTACTCCCCCCTTTTCCCCTAAAAGGGCTCAAGATGGCTTCAAATATTTAGGAATTGAGGTCACTCGCTCTCTCCTTACTACTTTCACTAAAAACTTTACCACTCTTCTCAATAGAGTGGCGAAGTCCCTCCCCTTCCGGTGGACCTCCATGGGACCTTATTTCGGAAAAATTATGTATTGAAGTCAATGGAGAGAGAAAGATTATCTTTCGATCCCGTTTGAATTGTGCCACGAATTACACATATAATGTTTGTGAATTTAAAAGATAATTTTGCAAGTCAAAAAAAATAAAATGTGTCGTAAAACTGTGAAGTAACACATTTGTTTGTGTGAAACGCTAAATGAACTACATCTCTGGTCAACCACACACGTCACCAAGATGGCCGTCACTACTGTCTTGTCAACAAAACGATTGACTACCCTCACTATCACCACAATGAAACACGTCCTGAAGAAAGTCATGCAAAGCTGCCTGCCTGCCTTCCTTTGATTCTCTCTGAACTGCCTGGTCGTTTTAATGTTTAATGTCAACCATTTGTGCAGATAGCAGGAAGTAGAAAAGATCGCCGATGCTAACGTTAGCGTTAGCATTTCTCCCCCGGAATTAAATGGTGTATTATAGAATGATCACACCGGTGACAGTACTATTCAAAGGGTTCACGAAATATGACTACTACTCTTACTGTTTAACATTTTGGGTTACTTAATGTTACTTCATGTTAAGGCTAATAAAAATGACAAGGCTGTAATGCTAACTAACGTGCTAGCTACTAGCTAGGTAGCTAACTTGATCAAGCCACTCCTGGTCGTTTCATCAGACGGGAAGCAAAAGAACGAGCAAGACCCATTGCTGGTATGAACAACCTGGCACTAAGCACACAGGCATCTTGTTAAAGTTATCTTATCTTAGCCAGCGCCATATAGATAGATTATATCTATATTGCGCTGATCTTAGGTATCTGAATGGTGGAGGAAAACAATTGTGACATCACTTACGCGACTCTGGGATTTGTAGTCTTTCTAGTTACGTATTTTTCATAGTCTTATATTTCAACAGTTTTACGACAAACTGTGACTTTTTTGACATGGAAATGATTTTTTAAGATTGACAAACATCATATGTGTAATTCATGGCACAATTCAAACGGGATCGAAAGATAAGTTTTCTCTCCCCATTGACTTCAATGCATAACTTTTCCGGAATAAGGTCCCATACCCCGGAAGTAAGTGGGAGGGACTTCGCCACTCTATTGGCTGACTTGAGACCGGTCTCTACCTGACCGGAGTCACGCTGTGTGTGTCCGTCAGGAAACACGCTGTTTACAAGTAGTTCCAGCAAACATCCACTGATAAATTGCGATGTTAACAACCTCATGATAACCTCATATTTTTTTAACTTAGGATCATACCTGTGGTTAGTCTAGAAAAAGGTAAATGTGTGCATTTTATTATAAAGTTGTGTATATTTACAGACTGTTGCAAAAACTAAGAAGCTTATAAACATCAGGTTTAAAACTAAAAGAGCTTTACAAAAAAGTAACACAATGAAAGATGTTTGGAGTTTTATTTGAGTTATTAATTTACATTTTTTTGTCTAAGAGATGCTGATTTGAAACCGTTGTTACATACAGTTACGGCATTTCCTGTTTCTGCCGGAGAGGGGAGTTTGTCCCAAAGCTTGCCGCTGTATTTACTCCCTCCATCTGACAGGAGGGAGCCTCGTTGAGCTGCGAGTGTGGCTACAGACGGAGTTCACTCCGCCACGGAGGGGTAGGGTCGAGGGAGTGGTTTGGGATTGGGCCTAAGAGATAGCTAAAATCAGCGCCATATAGATATAATCTATCTATATGGCGCTGGCTAAGATAAGATAACATTAACAAGATGCCTGTGTGCTTAGTACCAGGTTGTTATCATACCAGCAATGGGTCTTGCTCGCTCTTTCGCTTCCCATCTGATGAAAGGACCAGGAGTGTCTGGATCAAGTTAGCTACCTAGCTAGTAGCTAGCACGTTAGTTAGCATTACAGCCATGTCATTTTTATTAGCCTTAACATGAAGTAACATTAAGTAACCCAAAATGTTAAACAGTAAGAGTAGTAGTCATATTTCGTGAACCCTTTGAAGAGTACTGTCACCAGTGTGATCATTCTATAATACACACTTTAAGACCGGGGGAGAAATGCTAACGCTAGCATCGGCGATCTTTTGCACTTCATGCTTTCTGCACAAATGGTTGACATTAAACATTAAAAAGACCAGGCAGTTCAGAGAGAATCAAAGGAAGGCAGGCAGGCAGCTTTGCATGACATTCTTCAGGACGTGTTTCATTGTGGTGATAGTGAGGGTAGTCAATCGTTTTGTTGACAAGACAGTAGTGACGGCCATCTTGGTGACGTGTGTTGTTGACCAGAGATGTAGTTCATTGAGCGTTTCACACAAACAAATGTGTTACTTCACAGTTTTACGACACATTTTATTTTTTTTGACTTGCAAAATTATCTTTTAAATTCACAAACATCATATGTGTAATTCGTGGCACAATTCAAACGGGATCGAAAGATAATCTTTCTCTCTCCATTGACTTCAATACATAATTTTTCCGAAATAAGGTCCCATGGAGGTCCACCGGAGGGGGAGGGACTTCGCCACTCTATTGAGAAGAGTGGTAAAGTTTTTAGTGAAAATAGTAAGGAGAGAGCGAGTGACCTCAATTCCTAAATATTTGAAGCCATCTTGAGCCCTTTTAGGGGAAAAGGGGGGAGTACATCGGCTGCAGAGTTTAAAGGGAAAAGTTCGCTCTTTTGTAAATTTAATTTATAACCTGATATAAGGCTTCTGCAGACACCGGAAGTGGCTAGTGAGTGTGATGCCCGTTCTTATAGAGTGGCGAAGTCACGCCCATCTACTTCCGGTCCATGGGACCTTATTCCGGAAAAATAATGTATTGAAGTCAATGGAGAGAGAAAACTTATCTTTCGATCCCGTTTGAATTGTGCCATGAATTACACATATGATGTTTTTCAATATTAAAAAATAATTTCCATGTCAAAAAAGTCACAGTTTGTCGTAAAACTGTTGAAAT